GAGTTAAACTTCTTCAAACTAAATTTCACCATCGATGGCGGAAGATCAATACATTTTCCCCAAAAATGTACATCCTTAGTCTAATGTGCGAGACCAAGAAATAATACTAAATGCCTGGGGTGTTTCGCTCAAAGTTGTATATTAGCAAAGTTGACATTGCAGGCAAAACCGCGGCAGCGCAAAGATCTATTAGACTCAGAGAATTCGATTGGTTGACAAACTTAAGGACTGGACACTTTGGAGTTCGAAGGGGCTTCGATTTCATCCCTGGTCGCACGGATGGCTCCTATAAGCTTCTCCTTTGCGGCACTTCTGGAGAGCGGGAGCAGTGAACTTCTTCTCAGATGGATCGAAACTAGGTGGCGGGGTTCTGTCAAGAGCTTCCCATCAGTATTAAGTTCAGGCTTCCGGACTGCTGCCGTGTATTTCAAGAAGAAGTGACTGCTTATAAGGAGATGGTCTAGTCATTGCTCAGCAGTGCGATAGCAGTCAGGGAGGTGATAATCTGGTTAAGGAATGTCTGCTCTCTCTTTCAGTTGCGTCGGAATACTTATGTATTTGTCCCTTATTGTCTCTTATTTCTGAGCTCGGAGTTCCCGCAAATCCGCAGCAGAAGTTCAAGCTTGTTTCCCTTCGCAACAGAGTTTAACCTCTACTTACAATCCAAGGCCTTCATAGTAGCAGGGATGTTTCTGCAGACTTTGATTTGATATTCGCGCCACCTTCCTTCAATTATTAATTAAATTAACACTGACACAATTGGGCGCTCCTGGCTTAATGGCTACTAATATCAGGGTGGAGATATTGTAACTAGTTATCGACAATTTTCGGATCGGTATCGCTTTTGTTGGTGTATTTTATGAATATTTTTACGCCCACAAATGCGATAGTGATCCGAAATACCCCACGGTCACATGCCACTTTACTGGTTTCCAAAACTGTATAGGAACGAAGTAGTATGTTAGGAAAGGTTAGATTTGATAAGCGGCCCTTATCAAGAGTTCACCCGGTGGCCACAGAAGTACGTTTAAATGAACAGGGAAAGGTTTACCCAAACCATTCGGATTTTTTTATGAATAGGCACAGACTTCCCAGTGAAACGGTGCCTAAGCTGCCAAGGTCATTGTAGCAACCTTAGTCACATTCCATGCATTTCCAGCTCCGTTCTTTCTTGTAAATCCCTAAGTGCATATTTTAGAATTTCACGGACTGTCGAATACCCTTAAGTGACCTATTTAAACCTAGATAAACCCGTTCAAACTCCTACTCCGAGGGGAGCGTCAAATATGAAAATCCTCGAGGAGTAAAGTTCTGATGCTACAACAACAACAACCACCCCTAGTGCTTGCCGCCCGGAATGCGGCAACCCAACACCGATAATCTTTTAGCATTGACGACAACCTTTTCGGGAGGAGAATTCGGGCTGAATAGCAAAAATCTGCGCTACTCCTCGTTTCATTTTAAATTTTCTTAAAATCTATAAAAAAAAAAGGACTATTTGCATACGAATAGCTACGAAAGAATGAATATTTTGAATATCTATACATGCAGTTGTAGATCGAACCTTCGATGATACAACAATAAACAATAGCCTTGAATATCAGCGTTTAAAATTTGGTATATTTAAAGCGAATTTATGTTTGTCCGACAGGTAGTAGAGTTAGCTATGGCTGGTCAATATAATATAAATTACGAACAAAAAAGATGTTTTTTTACCTGGAAACGTTAAAAGCTGAAATTAGTCAAGAACGCAGAACGTACATACATATACTTAAACGCAGTCCTCATACACAGAATATTGTCGATTACTGCTGGAACCCTCAGTGTTGCTTACTACAGTGTTGCCACTCACCAATGCCTTTTCATAAACTTACCTTTTCAACTAAAATGTTTCTTGCTATAATAGATCGTAGCTAAATATAAACTACCTCGTTTTCAACAAGGAACCTTATTCAATAGTAAATTTCAAATACTTTAAACGTAGTTTGAATAGGAAACTATAACTTTTTTACCATCTGCAAAACTGACGAAGTGGCAACCATCTAAAGAAGGAGAAATCAGCTGACACGGAAAAATCTAAATTCCGCAGATTTCTGCGCTACGGGCTACACCTACAGAAAAATTCTGCGGTGTTGAGTTTTCATTTACATGGCGCTTTGGTAAGACAGATCGTGTCAGCTGACTCGGGTTTACGTACCGGTAGGTTTACGTTCTTGACTAATTTCAGCTTTAATCTCCTTTAAAATTATAAATGCAGAAAATAGTTGCGTTCGATAAAAAAAAGTTGCGTTCGATAACAAAATTAGCCAACACCAGCCAACAATCAAAATCAAGAGAGTAAGCGAATATTCTCTCCCAAAGAGATGAAAAAGCAAAAAAGTAAACGAACAGAAAATTAGCCGTGTATGTTTTATTTGTAAACAAACTGAAATTCATGTTGCCTCCATAGAAGAAAAAATGAAAGTGACCGTTCAATGTTCGCCAGGAACATTTCTAGAAGTAAAAACTAGTTGGCGCTATCATAAAGTCACATAGCAGTCAGCCAAAAAGCATATAAATACCAAAACTCGGAAAATGCAATTTTGCTTGTTTACAAAAATTGCAACCATATGTTTTGTGATCATATGTTTTTGTGTTGGATAATTTTTTGTCGTTATCGAACGCCATCCAGTAAAAATTTCGAAAACTATTACAAATTTTTGACTTGTCGAACGCACATAATTATTCGGAAAGTGTGAAAATGTTTTTCATAATTGTGAATAGCACACGTTAAGAAGAAGTATTTGTTTACAAAATAATGGGGAATTATTCTTAATTAACAGCTGATTTTAACTGAGTCCCCGGTAATTAAAAAATATACAAGGACATAACGACATATAAAATGCAAGTCCTCTGACAGCAAAAGTCCACATTTCAGACGATATGGAAACTAGCACATCAGCGCAAGCCGCGTTCGCCGTAACAGAGGATCGCGTAAAAAAAAAGAAACGTATATTAAAAGCTGCGGAATATGCAAGTATTTGTAGCTTCATACAGCAGTATCAGGGGCTTGCTATTGACTGTGAAATGGAAATGGCAAATCGCCTATTTCCAGATATTGAACGGCTAACGCTAAAAAGTATTCTACAGACAGAATTAGCAACACGAATGCGGGCGCAACATTGGCATTTCGAAGCAAATGCAAAGAAGTACCTGAAAAGGTAAGTAAAACATAATTCAGTATGTGCAAACCAAAATTATTAATCTATTTTCGTAACTAAATAGCTTTGAAGATCAAGTGGACACACATCCAGGCCCAACGCTACTGCTAAAAATCGCTTGCATGGAAGGCATGAGTCCAACAACACTCTGTCGCATTATTTTGCTGGAGAAGTACAAATTTGAACATAAATCCGAACTAAGTCGCCTGCTAAAACATCCACATCTCATTGAAGATCCGAAGCTAGCAGCAAACGTGGCGCAGTGTATGTGCAGCGATTCGCAAGACGGACCGCTTGTTGATTTACGCCGACGCATTTTGGGTGAAGAGTACGAATTTAAGGTAATTAATTATTAAATGTATGGAAGGACAAAATTTTATCTTTTACCCATTTCAGATGAAAAAGATGGCCAAAGCCGTTAATATGCACTACTATGATGAAAACGATTTGCGGCGCCTGGGCTACGATAAAACACCTGATATTAAAATGATAGTGCCTTTCTTGTATAAAGGCGAAGTAGTAAATTGGATTGAAAGTAAGGCGACATTCGGCGATGTTAAGACACATAAATGGTACATACAGCAGCAGCTGTATAGCTATAGTAATCGGTAAGTGTAGATAAGAGTTTGAGCATGTAAAAATTTAAATCATTGGTCGAATGTTTCAGTTTTGGCGCCGGTATTGTGATTTATTGGCTAGGATACCACGAAGATACCCCGCTTATTACGGACAATAATGTAGGCATCATTGTGTTGGACGACTTTCCAGCTCATGAGCATATGGTTTTCTTAAATTTGTCGAATGAAGATACACCGTACAGAGAAACTACACGAAGCAGCACACTAGAGCCTAGTATTAACAAATCTATATCATAATTTTTTTAATTAAACTTTAAATACTCAGGTTTGTGTAGTTTAAAATCTTGTATACGCCGTTATGGTGTATGGCATTTATGTATTTGTTTTTATTTGCTTATTTTAATTTATTCAGGTATTTCAAGATATATAAAAATGCTTAGAAAATTAGGAAAAATGTTAATAAATATTTATAATTTGATCAAAATACTTATAGTAATTAAAAATATTATCGATAATGCCAGCTGATTTGTTATCGACAACTATCAGAAATTTTTCAATTTGTTTACATTACTATTGTGACTTCTGTAATGATCTAAAAAGAAGAACTATAAAAACCACTTTGACACGTCAGATTTTAGTTCGCGAACTCAGGAACTTCCTGGAAAAATCTGTTAACAGACNAATGATCTAAAAAGAAGAACTATAAAAACCACTTTGACACGTCAGATTTTCGTTCGCGAACTCAGGAACTTCCTGGAAAAATCTGTTAATAGAAGATATTTGGTGGAAAGTAAATTTTTTCGTCGCAATAAATCAAAAAAAAAGTTTATTATGAGACTGAAGACAAGTTTGCTGTNCGATATTTGGTGGAAAGTAAATTTTTTCGTCGCAATAAATCAAAAAAAAGTTTATTATGAGACTGAAGACAAGTTTGCTCCTAATTTTTGTTACTACAACAGTGCTGTACCAGTTTTCCGAAGGTCTGCCTGTGACAAAAAATAAAAAGGGTGAGAAAGAGGAAAACCCCAGCGTACCCGCTACCCCAGATGTTGAGACAGCTTTGGAATATGAACGATATTTGAAAGAGGTTGTGGAGGCGCTTGAAAGCGATCCAGAATTCCGGAAGAAATTGGACAAAGCCCCCGAAGCTGACATACGTGTAAGTACGCTTTGTGGCTTTTGTATATATATATGTACATAGTATGTATGTATGTTATGTGAATATGTGACATGGAATTGCACGCCCCTATTTTTTCTAGAGTGGCAAAATCGCACAAGAACTTGAGTACGTTAATCATCATGTGCGCTCCAAGTTAGACGAAATAAAGCGTGAAGAGGTTGAACGCTTACGCAAACTAGTGAATAAAGAGTTCGAGCTGGAGAATGATATTGATCGCGATCATTTGAAAGTATTGCAGCACTTGGATCATCATAATGAGCATACTTTCGAAATTGAGGATCTCAAAAAGTTGATCAAGAAAACGTCAGAAGATTTAGCTGAAGCCGATCGCAAACGACGTGCAGAGTTCAAGGAATATGAAATGCAAAAAGAATTTGAAAAGGAAACGAAAATAAAAAATATGACAGAGGAGCAGCGAAAACAGTTTGAACAAGAAGAAAAAGAGAAAGAGGAGAAGCACAAGAAACACGAAAAAGTTCATCACCCAGGCAACAAGGCACAACTAGAAGATGTATGGGAAAAACAGGATCAACTAGACAGAAAGGACTTTGATCCACACACATTTTTCGCGATGCATGGTAAGTATAGCAGTAATAAAAGAGACAACCATTTATTAATGCATATTTTTAAGACATGGACGGCAACGGCTACTGGGATGAGGTGGAGGTAAAAGCACTGTTCGTTAAGGAACTGGACAAAGTGTATCAATCAGGTCTGCCTGAGGATGATATGCGTGAGCGCGCTGAGGAAATGGAACGTATGCGTGAGCATGTATTCGAAGAGACTGACAGCAACCGCGATGGTTTGATTAGTTACCAGGAATTTTTGGAACAAACTAAACGCGAAGAGTTTAATAAAGATCCTGAGTGGGAAACAGTCGATAAAACACCACAATACACGCATGAAGAGTACTTGGAATTTGAGCGCCGCCGGCAGGAAGAGATTCAACGCATGATAGCCAATGGAGTGGTAATGAAATTTTGACATTTCTATCTACTTCATATCGTTAGTTTAGTATGGAAAGGGCTTTACTCACATCGTCGCTGAAATATAAAAAGCTTTAACTAACTAAAAATCCAAAATTCCATTTTTGATTGGTAATGGTAATGATGCATTTCATAGTCTCCACATCGATTTAAGCAATCAAAATTTTAAGTTGGTTGTGGCTCTTGCATTTCAGCGATTATGTGAGATTCAGTTTACATACTTTAGTACCGATATGTATGTATAAATGTATGTATACGTTGCTCATTCATTTTTACATTTAGTTACCACCACACCCTAACATGCCGCAAGGTTATTATCCAAACGGTGCGCACGACACTTATCAGGTAAATGGTCAACATCAGCTGCCAGTCGGTCAGCAGCAGTATCATTATCAACAACCACAACAACAGCACCTGCAGCAGCAACAACAATACGCACAACAACAACAGCAATATCAACAGTATCCACAGCAACAATTCCAAGGGCAGCCAGTTCATTTAAATCCTAATCAGGTATATCAAACGGTGGGTGGTCAACAACAACATTATCAGCAAGCACCGCAACAGCAATATCAGCAATTGCCACAACAACAAAATCAGCAAGTGCCACAGCAACAATATCAACAGGCTCCACAACAACAACAAGTACCAAAGCAACAACAGTATCAGCAAGTGCCACAGCAGCAGCAGCAGCCCCAGCAACAGCCGGCCGTACCGAATCAGCAAGCACAACAGCAACAACAGTATCAGCAAGTGCCAAAGCAGCAGCAGCAGCCCCAGCAACAGCAACAGCCAGCCGTACCGAATCAGCAAGCACAACCTCAACAACAACAGCCGCAACAGGCACAACAACAAGTAGAGCAACCGCAGATGGCACCACGGCAACAACCACAACCAGCAGATGGTGGTGCTCAAGCTTCTGTAAATACTCAACAACAAAACATTCCGCCGAAATATTAAAGCGACAAGTCTTTTGAATATGCTTCCGCTATACGTTAACGTTACACAGCTGCAGTTATTTACTAATCAAATAATCATATACGATCAAAACAGATGCCGTTTTTCTCACTGGCATAAATCAATTTAAAAGCGTGTTATTACTAAGGCTCACGGCTTTGTGCGTCAATATAAGGCTGCAAATATGGGTTCCGCAATGTTGCATATTTAAAATTCCATTTTTAACTGTAATTCATGACGCTTACATACATACATACGTACAAATCGATTTGGCATTTTATTTTCCACTTTAATGCGAATATTCGAATAAAATGTAGAAGCATACCAAATTTTTAAGTATTGTACATTTAAATTATTCAACTGTGAATTTTTTGTGTAAAAATGTATATCAGCACTTTAATTTGTTACTTTACTTTCACCAATCATTTATTTACTGTATATGCATTATGTAAATATTTTATTAAACCTACTAGATTTGCAAATTCAACGAAACAAGCTTCGAAAACAGAAAAAGTTTTTATACCTGCTCTCTTAAAAGTATATTAAAACTCATTTGAGGAAATTTAATAATAAAACCAGTATTTTATTTATTAATTTTTATATACGAGGTCACAATGCTCCCAAGATGGATTTTTTAATTCAAATTATACTTCGTGTAATAGGTTGTTTTTAAGGGCTTCGTTTAAAATTTTAATAGCGAAAAAACCAGGGCTTCGGAGCGGAGCGGAGCAAAGGACCAAGGAGCAAAGGATTTTAGCTGGAGCGGAGCTAGAATAAGAGTTGAAAAATCATTTGCTCTTAGCTCCTTAAAGAAAAAATTTCAGCTTACAAATTTACTAGTTTTTTTCCACCGACAACAACCTCGTTAAATAACATTCCATGAAAAACCCATGACTTGACATCTAATTTTATTTACAAGACAAAATACATTGGGATCATATAAATGTGTAGTGCACATACATATGTGTGTAAGTTTATAAACTCATAAAAGTACATACATACATTCATACGCTTGTACATGGAGCCCTAACCGCCAAAAAACGCAAGCGAAATTTTTTGCTTGCATTTTCGTTTGGATCCAAAAGTGCAGCTAGAGCAACTTAGAGACATTTTTGCATCACAAATAAAATTTTCAAAAAAAAAGTCGATATGTACATAACGTCGCGTGGGTAAAAGATTGTCGTATGTTGATTTCGGCAGGTTGTCGAAAATCGCGATTGAAGTTTGGAATGCAATTTCTCAAAAACGCGAAGATAGATATTCTTCAAAGTCTCTGAAAATGTTACTAGCTCACAAAATTCTTAAATTATTTAATGTTTAATGTTAATTAGCTTTCGAGTTTATGGAGGATTTTCTTTAGTAAAATTTTATCGTAAGTGTCATTTGTCCACAATTTGGCAGCCACTTTGTATGCAATATGACAAAATGTGATCCAAATTTCTACTAAATTAACGATACTTTTTACTCAATATCTCGGAGACTAAAGGAGATATCCAAAAATAGAGAACGTCATTTTTAAAATATTGATTAGTTTAATATGGCTGCATCACTAACTAAATTTTTACTAAATTATAGAAAAATTTGTAGGCAATATCTCGGAATCTAAAGGAGATATCTGCAAACTGATAACACCAATCAAAAGACCTTATCTTAGTTGTCTCTTTTTAACCAACGCAAAATTTGCAAATGTGTTAGTAAGGTAAATGAGAATGTGTTAGTTTCCATCACACAATTCTTGTAGGGAATGATTTGTCAAATGATAGTCACTGTTCTTGTAGGGTTGCCACTCAAATGATTTGTCAAATGATAGTCGCTGTTCTTGCAGGGTATATAACTGCATCTAGAACTAAATAAAATTATAGCTAAAAAACTAAAAACACGCTTTTATTAAAACAAGAACTAAAAAGTATAAAATCGGATCATAAATACGGTTTTTCCAAATATCCCGACTCCTGCGCCACCTATCAGCAAAATCTTTTGCGGATTTAAATCTTTTCACGCAAGTAATATATGTTCTATATATGAACCAGGCAAAAGTTTGTTTATTTATTTCTTTTCATATAAGTAATATATGTTCCAAATATGAACCAAATCAGACCATAAATGCGGGTTTTACAAATATCTCGACTCCTGCGCCACCTATCAGCAAAATCTTTTGCGGATTTAAATCTTTTCACGCAAGTAATATATGTTCCAAATATGAACCAAATCAGACCATAAATGCGGGTTTTACAAATATCTCGACTCCTGCGCCACCTAGCGGATTAAGTCATCTTTTGTATTGCATTGTCCTCGAGTACTGAGCTAAGTTTGAAATTTGAAGCCTGTAGCTCATCGGGAAGTTTGTTAAATATTGACTGCAAAGCTCCAGGACATACAAAGATACATATATACATACATACATACAAGCATACATAAAAGCTTGTAATAATAATAATAAAATCGTCAAAATTGCGATTACGACAATCTTTTACCCAGGCGACGATAAGTAAATAAATAAATAACTAGTAATTTTTAAGCGAAAAACACGACAGACTTAAATTCTCATATACAAATTTAGGATTACCGTTAATTTCTCCATGATCCAATGATCAATGATTAATGATCAAATTAGTATGGAATCACCCTTCCAATTATCGAAATCAGTTAACGTGGTCCATACATAAAAAATAATGTTCCGACGAATCATCATTATCATAACCTGCTTTTTTTAAGTCAGTTAAACAAATTTTATTGGGAGCAGGAGCGGAGCTGGGAGCGAAATAAAATACCTGAGCGGGGCTAGAGCGGAGCGATGACAAAAAAATCTGTGTTCCGAGGCCCTGGAAAGAACGCTACTGCAGTCGAGTGTTGTTTCAAGGTTAGTGTGACTTCCTGAAATAATTAAGTCCTTTTACAATGAGTAAGAAGACACAAGTCGGGGCTGGGGTGGATATTCTTAAGAAAGATGATCCACGTACATACATTGTTGTTGTAAGTTAAGTTTTTAAAGTTTAGATTTGTCTAGAAAACGTGCCGCGACTTTTTTCTACAGCAGCTAACTTCGAAAATCAGTATCGTTTATCCTCTCTGGTTTTAATTGAAATCCAATGCTGTTGCTTGATTTCAAATATGGACACAATTCCTTTCTTGTTATAATTTAAATAATAGACAGGGTTAATTAAGATCTACTGTCAAAGGAATTTTATTTAAATGCTTTAAAATGGGTTATAAAAATTTATAAAAATAAATTTTCCAAATCGCAGGTTAATACTTTAAATGTAATTATGTGTTAATTTTTAAATATACTTTTAAAACTAATTTTATTTTAAACAAAATCTTGCTAATGTTGGATTTTTAAACCAAATAAGTAGCACATTTTTTTTTTTTGTTTCTTTGTGAAAAATTAAACTTATTTATACATATATACTCATAATATGATTTTAGAATGAATGTTGCTTGGAAAAGCTTTCACGTAAAACGGATTTTATGTATTTAAGTATGAATATGCAGTTTATGGAGCAATCGCTTTACTCAAAATCTGCTTGCTGGAAAAATATGCTTATTGTTAGACCAGGGTTAGGAAACGTGTGGGGTATTTTAGAAGTCTTTTTTTTCTTGATGCATGTTTTCACTAAAAGCCGGTTGCACTTTGTGATGAAACTATGAAAAAATCAACCAAACTTTATATTTTTCAGTCGGAACTATTTTTTTAATACCCTTTTGCTTATTGGAAATAAATTTTTGGTAGAAATTTGGTTTTTAAAATTTGAGGTGATGTTCCGAAACGAAAATTTTCCAAAGCATTGCTTATTGATTTAATTGTTTAACAACTTTGCTTAAATGTTAAAGACCGTTTTAAACTAGACAGGTTTTTTTGTTCGAACGTAAGCTTTGGATAAATAAATAAAACTAATAATTATCAGTGGGAATTAAATTTTCTGTACTTTTTATGAGGAAATAATAAAGGACCTCATTGAAAATCAATTTTAGGCAAAATTGCGTTGAAACTCACATTAAATTTTGGAATCTTGTGTTTTACAGTATTTTTTTTTTGTAGGTTCTATTCGAAAATTAAAAGCTTGAATTTTAATGCTTATTGACTTAATTCTGTAATAAACAACTCTGCTCTTGGTTTAAAAGTCTTTTCTATAATTATAATGCTTTTTATTTATCCTGCAGCCAAGAAAAAATCAAGCATCAAAAAATTAACATTAACAGCGGGAAATAAATTTTGTATATCTTTTAACAATCGGATAATAAGAGGCCTCATTCAAAATTGATACTTCATTCCCATTTACTCGAAATTTTGCAATATTAAGTTTTTTATATTTTTGAGGTTATGCTCGAGACTCAAAATAATTATGTATTCTATGTACTTGCAATTTCGAAGTCCGTTCCAGGCGTGTAATTCGTCCCGAAATTAAAAAAAAAAACTTTGCGTCAAAACTAAAAATTTTGAGTATTCTTGTTGCAATCGAATAGCTGGCTCTGACAACTAATACATATTCTGAATTGTCTTGACTCAAATTGTCTTACGTAAAAGCAGCATTAGTTGTAAAATTGTAGTGTAAAGTAGGCATCCAGACAATTATAAAGACAATACACTAGTCGAGTGGAAATTTTAGGCAATGACGTGAAATTTGCGATACGATTATATGTTTCTGTACTAAGTTGCAGCACTCTACGATGAATACTTTCAGAGATATGTTGTGTGAAAACTTTAGTTTGTATGGGAGGTGCCCTTGACATATCGAAATTATTCTTCTTCTATTATCATCCTTTGAAGGTATAGAGTCGATGTCCAAAATTTCAAAAATTTCGGTACAGCCATGATAAAAATATAGTAAGGTAGAACCGCTAAGAGTCACTTTTAAAATTCTTGACGTTTCCAAACAATTTAATTTTTAAATTTACTCATAAACTCACACACACATTTTCATTTTCAATCTCCAGCAACAACAATTTCGAACAATTTCAATTTTATATTTTCACTTTTATATGATTTTAAAATGTTGGCAAACTTCAAAAAAAAATCATGGCCGACAAATTGAGAGAACGGTTCTACCTTGCTATGTTTTTATCATGGGTACAGCTGTTTTTTAATTAAATATTTCCTATAGAAAAATGTTTATGAATAGTTTTTTAAATTATTACAGGCATTTGGAATTAATTTCAAATCTTTTCCAAAAAATTGGAAGCATTCAAACGTGATTTTTTTTTTCATTTTTCAACATAAATAAATAAAACCAGAGCTTTTTTAAAAATCCCCACGGATAGATCGACGCGAAATTTAATTATCTTTTATTTAAAAAAGAAACTTGAAATCGGTTCATATTTGGGCTTTTGATTTATCCACAGCAACCTTTTTTGCCCCACTGTGCGCCGTTAGTGTCGTTTGGCGTGAATTTCATATTATTTACTAAAAAATCCTAACACAATGCACTTTTTCATAATTCAGCGAATTTTTGCGATTTTGCCTTGTCTCTTTTTCTCAAATTACCCAAGACGTGACTGAATTGTCCAATTTACTGTCCAAAGACAATGACGAAGACAATTGTCAGACAATTAATTAAGAAAACATTAATGGTCTTTGTGTGAGTGTATTAGTGAAAAAGTGTGAATGTATTGCTATTGTATTGGCAACCCCGTAGCGCGACCGCTGTAAGACATTGTCTGTTATACGTCTTTGATAGGAGTACACCTACATGACATTCTCACCAGTGTCACTGTCAGCTATATGTCGCTTAGGATTCACAGCAAGAGCGACGATGTCACTAAAACCTCATTAGTGCCGATGTCACCAGTGACCATTTTCGCTACTGGGTAAATTCTCCTGTAAACGCCGTGTATGAGAAAAATAGATTTTTTGTAATTTTGTATAACGTGTTATTTTTTCCTGCTTATCTGTGAGGACAGTGTCCGGCAGATAATTAAACAAATAAATAAATAAATGTCCATTTTCGCTAATTTCTATCTAATGAATCTTCGAGACTAAGAAGATTAATTGTTCAATATTCAGCATCATTGTGTAAGTCGCAAATTAGGCTAAATTGTACGACTCGACAACATTGGCATTGTCTACTGTCGTGCTGAAATAAATAAACGATGAAAATTGTCGAAAATTGTACAGTGCTGCCAAGTTTTTCCGTTTTAATACACTAGTCGAGTGGAAATTTTAGGCAATGACGTGAAATTTTCGATACGATTCAACTCTCGAAAAACGACTTGCATTCGACACGACTCGCGCATTGAGGGTGATTAATTTTGAACTTCCATAATTTTCAATTTAAAATTCACTAATCCTTAAACGTCAGAAAAAAGTCAATCTATCAACAGCATATCTTTCCCACATGCAGATTTTCCCCAAGCAACAATTTTGATTGGACAATTCGATTTGATATGATCGGTTATTTCAATTAAGCTTAAGGGCGACACTTAGCAAAAAAAACTCCAGCTTAAAGCGAGCAAAAATTTCTGCAGCGCAAAATAACAGCGGTTGGCAAAGATCATAAAAAATGAGCAATTGCAGGAGTTCAAGCGCACATATAAAAGAATGTACATATGTACGTACGTTTGATGCAAAAAAATATTTGTATCATTGTACGTACATATGAAAATGTATGCTGCATAAACAATTTTCGTTTTTGTGAACAAAAAGCAATGAGTAAAGCACATTTTGCGTATATTTTTTTTATATAACTAAACATATTATAAACATGAATATACTATATAAATATTATATGTATGTATGTTTTGTGGGTATGTGATTGTGTTCAGCAGATGAGCCACTTATCGAATTGACGTAACCTTTTGTTGTAGTTATGCAGTCACTGATAAATTTGCGTAAAAGCAGTTTTTATTTGACCTTGGCATCATAAGGCAAAAAACAAAAACACAATAGTAGAGTACATAGCAAAACTAAGTGTGTAGCAGTAAAACGACGAAAGTTTACGTGGCGGTGGCGTGTAAGCTTAAGCTTGTTTTATGCTTATGCACTGGTTTATAAACAAACGTTTAACGGCACCATTATATGGATATGCTAAATGACACAATCTGATTTACAATGTTTGTTTTAGCAATTGAAATTGGCACGAAATTATGTTATGTAATGTTGTATGTATGCATATATTAAGTTTTAAGCAATTGGACAATGAAAAGCTTTTATTTAATGAATACACTTAGGATTTTGAATGCAACAGAATGTATAAAAAAAAAACTATTTAATAATTAATCAGCACTTACTTTTAATTGTTTAGCAACAAAAGAGTATACATTTATTTTAGTTTCTTTTAATCTTACTTCATTTCTTTTCGTAAATTTGTTTTTAATATTTGTGAGCAGTAGTTATTGTTTTCCATTTCATTTTGTTCGTCGTGCTTTATAAATACATAATTTAGTAAGAGAAAACGAACGAAAGTCACAACATTGTACGGCGATTACTTTCCATGTTCTCCACTACGCTTACGACGAGTCATCGATGGCCAGCTACAACAGCCACGCCTCTAACATTTTCAGAAAAATAAGGCATTCTTCCCTTCTCTTGCGTCCCCTGATGAAACTGCTCAGAAGAGGTAGCGCTCAGAAGCACTCAGCTAGAATCGCCACTCATTTTCTTCGCGGCAGTTTCCTTAACACAGTTTCTCTTCTCTCTGTTTCTTAATAGTTCAAGTTCGCCGTTTTGTTTTTAGTTAAATCATTTAATAGTATTTTTTTTTTTAGTCTAAATTTAATTAACGCACATACATATAATTGAAATTGATAATAATTTATCTTAGGGAAATAGTTATTCATTATATGCATTGCTAATATTCGAATTTGAAATTTCTCAGTATCTAATAATCATTGTATACGATATAAGTATTTCGCTCATTTTTTGTTATTGTTCTCTTTCGTTTGTTTCTGTCTTCTAAGTTATACATAAAGTACAAGAATCGAATTCGCGTCGAAATAAAATTAAATATATGTATGTATATATAAAAAATAATCTTAGTTGTGTCAACTTAAGAGAGCACAAAGAAATGCCTCCAGCTCAATACATTTCTTTCATTTGATTTCATAGTCACATTGCCAACTTGCCTAAATTCCGCTTGCGTAATTTACAAACGTGTAAATATACTGTATGTCGCTTAGTAATATATATAAAATACGTAGTTGTTTGTATTGCAATGTAGTATGTGTGTGTGACATACGGTTTATCGTCGCGCCATAGCTGTGGCTGGCTTGGGCAAACCGCTGCGCTTGATGTTCGTTGTAGGCGGCCGCAGGCCAGATGGCTTCGGTATACCCGTTGAACCAGTGGTAATCTTAGTCAGGTTCAATGTGTTAGAGTTGGCGAAAGATACGGGCTTTGAAGCAGTAGCGGCTGCAACCGGCTTGCCAATATTGCTACCACCGCCGCCGCCACTATGTAAGCTACTACGCGATGAAGCCGAAGACATGCTCTGCAAATGCATAAGTTTACACTACATATAATATGAATTTACAAAAAGTAACTTACTTCTGTGGGTGAATGCCTGCCGCCGCTATCAGAATCGGCATCATTCGCTGGCTGTGTTTGTGGCGCTTGCGGCAACGGTGGCATACCCTTGGCGGCAAGACTGTTGAGACTATAGTAACCGGAGGAGGGCCGCACCAGGCCGGCGCGTTTCACACCAGGCGCTCGTAGGCCGGACATAAGCTTGGGTACCTTGAAAACTGATTCGTCGGCTTGCTGGAAGTATAAATATTATTTCATATTTTATTAGGCTGTGTGTTTAAGAAACATTCGGTTACTATGAAAGTACCGGCTGCAGCGTGGCATTCGGCGTACCGTTGCCAGTGCGCTGTAAATGTGGGAAAAAACAGTTTTCGCAAACAACGAATCCTCGTCACCCAAAATGAAGTGCAAACAAAAACCCACTTACCTCCCTCGCAGAGTTTGTGGAAAGACCATTGCTTTCAAAAGTGGTGGGCTTTTTTAAGCCAAAACTGCTGTTGCGTCCCGCCGACAGGCCATTTGCGTTGCCATTAAAACCAAAATTACTCGATAAGTTGTGGAAGGATTTTGACTTGGTGCCCATTGGGGATTTAACCTCATCCGTTGATGTCTTCAAAGGTTGCGTGTTGCGTTGGTATTTAGTGTTCGTGGCAGTCTTCTCAGCGCAAGCATCCTGACAGCTGTTGAGCCCAGCATGACTGACGCTGGCGTTAGGCGGTCGCAAGCCAGGCGCTGTAGCACGATCCAAATCGCCCGCCGAAATCGCTTTAACCACCGTCATCTTTTGTAAACCGGAAATATAACGCGGGCGTGAACGTGAACGTAAACGGCTGGGCGGTTCTCTTGGCTTTTCGAGCTCCCCATTGCTGACTAATGCGTTGCATCCTATCTCCGGCAAATTTCCGCCGAGTGTTGGTTTATCTTTCGGCTTCTTGTATGTTAAAAAATTCGGATTGATTTTTGATGCCGTAGTGGATTTCTTGAAGGTGTTTTGATTTCCAGTNGCTGCAGCGTGGCATTCGGCGTACCGTTGCCAGTGCGCTGTAAATGTGGGAAAAAACAGTTTTCGCAAACAACGAATCCTCGTCACCCAAAATGAAGTGCAAACAAAAACCCACTTACCTCCCTCGCAGAGTTTGTGGAAAGACCATTGCTTTCAAAAGTGGTGGGCTTTTTTAAGCCAAAACTGCTGTTGCGTCCCGCCGACAGGCCATTTGCGTTGCCATTAAAACCAAAATTACTCGATAAGTTGTGGAAGGATTTTGACTTGGTGCCCATTGGGGATTTAACCTCATCCGTTGATGTCTTCAAAGGTTGCGTGTTGCGTTGGTATTTAGTGTTCGTGGCAGTCTTCTCAGCGCAAGCATCCTGACAGCTGTTGAGCCCAGCATGACTGACGCTGGCGTTAGGCGGTCGCAAGCCAGGCGCTGTAGCACGATCCAAATCGCCCGCCGAAATCGCTTTAACCACCGTCATCTTTTGTAAACCGGAAATATAACGCGGGCGTGAACGTGAACGTAAACGGCTGGGCGGTTCTCTTGGCTTTTCGAGCTCCCCATTGCTGACTAATGCGTTGCATCCTATCTCCGGCAAATTTCCGCCGAGTGTTGGTTTATCTTTCGGCTTCTTGTATGTTAAAAAATTCGGATTGATTTTTGATGCCGTAGTGGATTTCTTGAAGGTGTTTTGATTTCCAGTTGCCGACACAGCTTCCTTTTCTGCTTCAATTTCTGATTTATTATTATTGAAGACTGCAGCGCTGTCGTCAGATACGCTCTCTTCACACGCAATTTCATCATCGATGCAAGGCACATTTACAGCTACAAGACCGTCATTCGCACTGCTTCCTTTGACAATTTTTATTGTCTTAAAACGATCACGGTCACGTTCGCGCCGTTCTGAGAGTCTGTAAGTGCCAATAACGTTGTAATTGTTCAATACCCCTGATCCGTGTACATTTTCATGCGCTTCATCCGTCTTTCCCAAATTCTCTTCTTTTTCTTCATCTCTTTGTTCAGTCTCTTTCGGTGCACCCGCTATAGTAGCTGTATCTGCGGCAATTGCACAATTTTCATGCTTGTTATCTTCACGCTTATGTACTGTGAATGAAGCACCCAGTGAACGGGATGGCGAATGATGATTATCGCTGCCAGCGGAAATTGTTGAAAGATTTATATTATCATATAGCCGGCTGCGACGACTTAGCAGTCGTTCACTCGTTGCATTGACGTTGGCGCCACCACTGACCGTTATCGAGGAAGCCGCCGATGAGGCGGATACCGATGCGGATGAGGGGGATGGTGAGGATAAACCAGAAGGCGCTGAGCAATCGTTCAATAATGAACGCTTAAGCTCCAAGCTGGCGTTTATATCCAGTTTGCTGTAACTGCCATTACGCCTCGAATCATTTTGACAGTCAGCGCCATTCGTTTCAACTATTTTCTCGTGTATATCGACGGCATGAATATTACTATCAGCGCCGTGTTGCAAGGCTGGTGCTCTTCCCAAAGCAATGGTGTCCCGATGGAAGCGTCGTTTTATTGTCTCCAGCGATTTCTTCATTTTCACATGCTCAGCATTTACTTCCACCTTACTGAATTCTTCCAGCATATGCTCAAATTCCTGATCGTTATTGCTTGCCAAAAGCTCTTCCTCAGCGTGCGCGAGCTCCAATACATTTTGCATTTGTATGTCGGCCGCGCTTTGTTGCAGCTCTTGTGTGCGCGCAGATACTTTCTCGTAAGTCTCATTGGGATTTTCAATATTATCTAACATTTGTTCGATACTCTCAAGACGTGGCAAAGTGCCTGAAAATGTTTTCGAATTCACTTTCTTGACGTCCGACTCCTGGCCGAAGGTTTCATTCAGCACGCGTGCTGCATTCAATTTCTCCGGCGAGCCCACTATAGGCGAAAGATTGCCCTCATCTATTGTTAACTTCGAGGTCGTAGGTGTAAGATGCTGAGCGTCTTTGCCCATGCTAGCAGCATGAGGTGTTGACTCGTAGAACTTGCGTGCGGCAACTGTTTCGGCCAAATTTTCTGGAGTTTCACAACGCGTTTCTGACGCTAAACGCGGATCTGGTGTCAGCTGTTTAAATTCGAATGTTGCATTGGCTTTTGTGGGAAGACAAACAGTCTCGTTCATTGGCCATGGCTTCTTGAACGTCTCGTTGATGAGTTTAGCGGATGTGGGTACAGTTGATGGGTTATTTCCATTTCCATTTTCGATGCTTTCACACAAACTGCTTTCAACCAAATCAAAAGATGTATCACTGATTACATCATCACTAAGTAGCATTGTACGATGCATAATGTTGTTTTTGCCGTCAAGCAAGCTACCGCCACCAACATCCACTGTGATAGCATTGGCCGCCGCATTTATACCATTACCCTGCTGTTGCTCATCCTGCATGCTCTCCGTGGAATTGTCCATGGTACTGTAACCCGATGCCGTTTTGCTGAGCGCAAGTGATATATCATCGATCTGACCGATATGCGAATCTTTTATGAGTGTGCCATCGCCCGACATTGTTAGCGTTTCGAGTGCTTTCCTATCGCGTATCATGTCGCTTAACGTATAACCATCACTGGTTGCCTTATTGGCTAAGTTGAACAATTCGCCACCATTTAGCATTGGCTCGTTGAAATCTAGGCTTTGTGTCGATTGTAGAAAGTTTATGTTAGTAAAGTCCGCTGATGTGATTAGTGAGTTATTCATGCGCTCCATTGACATATCCATGGAGGAACAAATGGATGAGGGGGGTGACGTGTCTTGCAAAAATGACTTATGCATCGTTGTAACTAGACCGCCAATTTCCAGATTGAAAATCGGCGTCTGAGGCGTGGCAATGGTAAATTTATGTGACAGCTGTTCGGAATGAGTTGGAAGCGTTGATTGTGCACCATTACTACCAGAGGTGTGTGCCTGAAGAATTGGTTAAAAATAGCACAGAATCACATTTAGGAAATGAGTAAATAATCTTTATTAATAATATGTACTTACAAAGGGCGATTCAAGATTTTGCGCCAACTTCCTGCGAGGACGCGTAAATGTTTTCGAGTTTAGTTTGTAAGCTAAGCGTTGTAATATTTTTATGGGCATAGCGTATCCATTCCATTTGTGTGGGTGGCCAATTTTAACCATTACATGCGATTGATAGTTGCAATGACAAAAAGAAAAAGTTCAGAATTATAATTAGCTTGTAATACCGCACCATTTATGGAATGCGATAACTATTGCAGACGTCCGGCACTGCGGTGTACTAAATAAAATATGCACTTTGTATGTATGTGAACACATTGTTATCTGGCTGAAATTTGCACAGAAAGAAATCTTAAAGATATTAACATATGGAAATTAATGTGTAAGCTGGTGTGGGCTTCAGGGCCAATCAGTAAGAAAAAGCAAAAGAAGCGAATGAGTCATTGACATAGTTGGATTTTTGCTTTTAAATTGCTACTGACCGTTAGCACACAATCAACCACTTGATGCCGCACGCGACATTTTAACGCCATAACTACATACAAAGGTACATGTTTATTTATGTACTTACAGCCCGACACCCCTACATACTTACATAAATAATTAAGCACATTTTACAAACATATTAAATTATCACAACTTTATTGGCACACCATAGCTTGCTTACCTTGTTCCTGCTGATATTGCGTTGGTAGCGGACAATTGTTGCTTTTCCATTGCTGCAATATGTTCGAAACGTCATCGTGTGTTTTATCTTCCAAGCAGCTGCGCAAATAAATCAATACAAATAAAAACATAACGGATATATTGCTTATTCTTCAAGAGAGCTGCATGCTATGCGGGGTCTTACGTACATAAAAGAATCATCTTTCAACGCTTCATCGATGTCCAAAATGTCCATTGTTACTCTCTCTCTTTTTCCGTCGCTTTAATAGGCAAACTTTTGTGACTTCCAAGCTCCACTTCAACGCTTCATCCACCCGTTGTAGGTCTTCAGTAGAGGGCTTTTGCTACTGCTGTTTATTGGCGTATGTATATTTAAAAACTATTAGCGTGCTTTTACTAAATAAATAAAAAAAATACTAAAGAAAATTCAGAGTTTATAAAAATTAACTAAAATATATTTGCGACAAAAAAAGCAATGAAATCACGGCTGCGCTCCCATTTCCCCTTTCCATTAAATGCCAATCATGTAGAGAAAAAAAACAAAGTCGCCCTATTTACTTCAATTTGCTATTTTTCCCCAACGTTTTTTTTTTCACTTTATCACTTAATTTTTAAAACATTATTATGCAATTCACAATTTCACATCCACTATCTGCTAATACACATAATTGTTGCCTTTTTCAAGTGGAATTATTCACCTATTTTATAAATAAAACCGAAAATATGCAGCTCTCCCTACAATTTTAATCCAGCTGCTCGTTGAGCGATTACAAAGAACTGTCGAAGGTGTACGAAAGTTGTTGATTGCAGTACTAAAATTTTATCGATTACTCATTAATATGTATCGATATTTGAACCAGTGGATCTGAGTGGGTCCTTGACTGGGACAAGTAAAGAATAGGGCCCGTTTGTGCCATGGGCCTATTGAGCCTTGCGTTGAGCTAGAAATGGGTGGGCTGGCCCATGATTCAATAGTTAAAGATTTGCTCACTAGTGACCTTAGAGTTTTGACACTCCCTTACAAAAGGTTACACACACAAACGCAGTCACAGTGACTTGTTAAGGGAGCCGATTTTGTCAAGAGGGGACGAGAAAACTGTTTTCTGAGCACACCTTTTATTATTGAATCAAGGGCATGGCCCGCCTTTTTACTGGTTTTAGGGCCAGATTTTCGGTGCCAGTTTAAAACATTTTCATTTGCACGAAAACTTCGTGGCGGCAACATTATTGATGTTATATTATAAAAGCAAAAATTTAGCTGTTTTTTTTTTGTTGAAATCATTTTTATTATGTACTTGGATGTGAAATAGCATATTTTCTAAATTTTTTAAGCGTTTAAATCTTGCAAAAACATTTGTTACGAGCCATTTTACAAATGGTTTTATTAAAATAAAATAATTATTACAAGTTCTCTGCCTCTCCTTCACTCGTCGCTCTCTTCTCTATATACAACAGGCATCGTGTTGCCGCTACAAAAGTTGTCGTGTGTAAATGAGCACTTACGGACCAATTTCCGTTAATTTGTGAACGTTAATTTTTAAAAGCGAAATACACCACACAAGCAGCTTGTCGAACATGTTTTTCTTTTTATTTACATTTAGGGGATTCCCTTAAACTCGTAAAGTCCTAAACTGTGTAAACTCGTAAGTTTACGAGACTGCTACGGGAAGGCCGCCCTTATGCGAATGTGTAAACAGGTCCGCAAAGTGACTGTTTGACAGGTTGAGAAGGGTTTTGTGAAAATATTCCTTTTTCGTAGAATTTTTTACAACATCCCGCCAGCTCGAATGAGAGCTAAAATCAGAGAACGTTTATAAACGACGTTTATTTATTTTTACTTATTATTTTTAATAATGAATACGAATAGGCGTATTTTATTCAAACAGCACTAGCTAATAGCTAAACCTTGGTCAAATAAAACGAAATTAGCTTATTTCCTATGTTAGATTTTTTTGTACGAATGTCTGCTTCATGATATTAGAGCATATGGTTTACTTAGAGACTTAAAAATGCTTAGTTCGTATGTGCTGTTTATCTCAGCGGGCATTAAGGCATAATAAGAAACAACTAACTATCTCATTGACCTCTTTTATGACAAGCATACATGCATATAATTTTGATATTTTTTGAAAATTATAAATTTTTTATATTTTTGGGAATATAAATTTATAAACGCCTCTTTCTAATTGGCTGAACCGGAAAACTTTTGGATGCTGAATGGCAATACCATTCAAATCACAGCACTTTTTTTGTTTTCCTTGTTTGTTTTCATTCTTGGGCATGCATCAAAAACGCTCAGAAATTTACTTTTTTCTCTTTTGATTGCGTGATCTTGTTAGTTTGTTCATGCTTTAAAGCGGTTTGAACAATTATCAGCATAGCGGCCAGAAAAATAAAAAAATTTAATTTTTGTTCAAATATCCTTCAAACGCCTTGTCAAAAACTGCTTGCTTTATGTATGGTAAAATCGCCTCATTCCCAACGGAATTTTCACCGAGAGATTACGTTACTTACTGTCTCCACAGGAAAAAGTTTTTATCTTGATAATGTTATCAGGCAAAATTTTGCCAATGGAGGCCGCATATTGCTCTTGGAAAGCAATATNTAATGTTATCAGGCAAAATTTTGCCAATGGAGACCGCATATTGCTCTTGGAAAGCAATATAATAATCAAAGCTTTTATCTTGATAAATATTACCAGCAACTTGGTACTTTGACAGCTACATTTTCATTTGCTCGATAACTTCGTGGCGGCAACGTTATTGATATTTTAATATAAAAACAAAAATTTAGCTATTTTCTATTAAAATATTTGTTATTATGTACTTGGATGTAAATTTCAATTCAAAATTTTTTAAGTGATAAAACCCGCAAAAATAGCCATCTTACAGATGCTTTTATCAACTTGAAGTATGTTTGACAAGCCGCTTGTGTGGTGTACTGTACCCTTTATAAATAAATGGCATGAATGAACTCTGACCGTTCATTTATCACAAGGCGAATTCATATGACACTTTGCGGCGTGAAGCTGAAATCCACGAATTCACTTTTTAGCAAAGCACAAAAGCAGCACGGGAGAAATTGATTACAAAAATTCAGTTGCAAATAATTTCGGATATAATAAAAAACATAAAATACAGTGCTTTTTATTTTAGTGCCGTGTTTCACTCGAATTGCTATTGCATTTTATGAATATTGTATTTTTCAAGAGGGGATCAACCACGCTGTAAAATTTAAGTAAGTTGTAATGGAAGGGCACTGCTTGTGTCAGCACCTGCGTAGAAGTTTGCGTCAACGCAGGCATTGCTGCTTTTACCACAGTAACTAAATTGTTCGAAATGTAATTTTGTTTTGATCGGTTGTGTAAAACTTGTTTTACTTTCAATTAACTAAGAAAGTGCAGTTCTATTTACCAAAAGGCTGGCGTCTTTATTTCTAATGGACAAAAGCGTTTAGGTATGTCGGTGAAAAATATGCAATAAATGTGACCAACGCTGCTTTAAAGAACGTGGTCGCTGCGCGTTTCATTCCTTATATGTACAATTGTGCAAAATGAACGAAAACGCTAACTACTGAGCAAGGCGCCTTGCTACTGGACAAACACGAAGGCAATACTCATATATATATAGTAATTTAATGCATTGCGTTGAAATCCTAAATAAAGCAAATATTAAAGCAGGCTTAAGAAAGAGCGATTGTCATATTGATTAAAAACATGTGTATGTATACGGTTATGTGCGCTGCTGCGTCGTGATTACTGCGCGACGTTCTTTGTTTATATGATTTACTGGATTTTCCGCAATAAAATTTACATCGCTTTGCCACGTTTACTAGGTTGTTGTAAACGCATAGCAAAATGCATATCGTCGTTTAAAGTACAAAACCACTTATCAACAAAATGCAAAACCTCATATCAAGATTATGCGCATGTGAGGTTGCATAAATTATTTTTAGAGAGTAAAACACTAATATTTCAAAATGGTTAACTTTTTTATAAAGCAATCGCATTTCTGGCCAGTATACTATTTCAGGACGAATTGATGACGCCTGAGTCAAGAGCTTGTGTGAGCAAATCCAATGTTTGGCAGCGAATGTCATTTACGCGGTTTTGCAGAATGACGATACGCGGTTTTGTAGTTTAAACGACGATATAAGTACGTAAGTAGCATCTGCAGGGGAAAGTTTTCAAAAACCTGTTAACAAAATTTACATTTGACCTATCAATTTTGTTTAGGTATTTTAACGGCATTCCTACTAGCATAGTAAAAAAATTAGCTATATGTCAAAAATATTTACGCAAATGCATACACATGCGTTCGAATATTGCTGGAAGAATACCGCTTTTGCCTTCCAAAAATGCATCGACTGCCAGAAAGACTAAGACTGTTTTTACACAGTTCAACTATTGAATTCAATTCTGCTCGCATGTGGAAGAGAGGGGATGAGAAGAAAAGGTCTGTACCGTCAAGTTGTTTGAACTTTCTTGCTTTGCTTTTGACATTTTCGTTGTCTCCCATTTAAAGAAGCAAAAACTTGGAATTCAACAGAATTGAAGTGTGTAAAAGCAAATAGAAAACAAAAAAGAGAATGAGCAAGAATTGCTTTCAAGTACTTGAATCATGTAAATCGGGTGTAAGCAATGCTCCAAATAAACAGAGCGGAGAGTGGAAATTTCAACCAAAATTTCACTAAGTATTTCTAGAACAGATTAAACTCCCTCAAATCAACTCTAAACTTTGTATTTTTTAACATTAACTTATGTCTTTAAATCCTCTTTTGTTGCAGCTAATAGTAAGACGTGTTATTTAATAAAACATCAACAAAATGGCTCGCGGACATCAAAAAATTCAATCGCAAGCCAAGGCTCAAGAAAAACAAGCCAAAATGAAGAAGCAGCAAGGCCACAGTGCCACTGATCAGAAGAAGGCAGCACAAAAGGCGCTCGTTCATGTATGCGCGGTTTGCAAGGTACCTTACTAATATACATTTCTTTTCATATACATCTAATCTAACTTTCCCCCCTCCCCTAAAGTCGCAAATGCCCGATCCAAAAACGTACAAACAACACTTTGAGAATAAACATCCCAAAAATGAGATGCCGCTAGATTTGAAGGATGTATAAGCGAAGTTGTGTTAACACTATTGTCAGCGCTTCAGTTATTCACATTGACATTGCCAAAATCATGATAAAAAGTTTGAATACACTTGTAGGAATATCATGGAGTTACATGATCTACCCCGGCGATGACGAAACTGAACTTTTTTTTTTATTTATTAAACAGTGATTTTTTGGTATACAAAATTAGTGAAATATTTTTCTTTGCTACTTGAAAACAAACTAATAAAATGCACCCAAAATTAAACAAAAAGAAAAAAAAATAATGCATAAATTTTGTAATAGCACATGTGTACATACATGCATACGTGAAGTGGTTTGTTACTGCCGCGCTGCTGCTTTGCTTCCGATGTCTTTAAACGCAAAAGAAAAAAACAATAAAAACAATTGCAATTGATTGCAGCCTTTTTTATAATAACTATTACATACCTACTCAATTTCTTCTGGCATTGCACGATGATATTCTACATACATATATATATTTAAGAGTAAGATTTTTAAAAAGCGCAATTACAAATGAAACCTTCAACCCATTTGTGTAAAGCGTAGTAAATGATTAATATAAACGTAAATACATACATACATATAAATTTAGTATTGTGTCAAACCAACATACATAAATACATACATACACAATTTTGTACTATGTAAATTGCACATTCTCATGATGTTGCAATTAATTCCCACATTGGCTCATATTCTCCTCTTGTGTAAATTTGCCTATGTATTCTTAAAGTAGAGAAATTATGTTTTAATTGATATATGATGAAATTCAATAAATATGATTTGAAAAAGAACAGGCTTTGGAAGTGTCAAGTGTTTGCTACGTTGCGATGTTGCAGCTACATCAACAATATCGAAGTTGAGCGAATATGCATTACATAATATTGAACATTCGCTTGTTTTAAACTTTATTCAGCTTTTGGTCACTATTGTGTAGTAGAGGCTTCCAGACATGCAAAGATAATGAAACAGGACAGTCGGTCTACGTAACCGGAACGACCCAGATGCATATCTGGTCAATGAGTGTTACTCCAGTATCAACCCCCAAAAACTCTTTGGGGAGTTTGTATGCTGTTACAATAACAACAACAAACACAATTCTTAAGTAAAAATGCAGTAGTGATCATAAACTAAACCAAATTAGTATTGTAAGGCGGTATACATTTCCGATAACAAAATAATACATATTTACATTTTTTATTTTTTTTTATTTATAGATAATTTAGGTGTGCCTTTCCACATTTACTCGCTTCTTCGTAGTTCTACACAGCATATACTCGCACAAATTTAATTGCCATTGTTGATTGTGGACCCCATGGTTTGCTGCATCTCCTCTTCACATAACGTTGCTCTGATGGTCTGCACTTCATTTTTTGATTTTTGCTACATGCTGATCTATTAATTTCCTGTGTACATTCACCTTTTGCAACAGTTCCGGCACAACAACCAGTAAAGCTTTCGTGAAATACTCGTGTAGCATTACTGTAACCGTTAGACCATGGTTTTGAATTAGTTTCAGTATATTCTAAATGCCCACCAGCAGAGACGCCCAAAACGATATGATACTGAATATAAAATGAAACAAAGGAAAAGAAATGGCTATAAGAAAATCCGCAAATAAAAAAAT